AGAAAGAGAAAGAAAGAAAGAAAGAGAAAGAAAAATGAATATATAACTGGTATAAATATTTTTCTATTATATATATATATATACTGTGAAAGATTGAAATTGGAGAACGTCAAGATTCACATGGTGAAATGTTAACATAAACCAAATACGTCGGTTAAAGACCGAATATTTGGGTTTACTCTTATATATTAATATTTCGGATACACATCAAGCGACCATGTGAATCTTGACATTCTCCAATTTTGGTTTTTCACGGTAACTTATATATGTTTCCTGAATCTATTAAGGTATAATATCATTTTAACCAAAAAAAATAAAAGACGATTTTTGTTTTAAAAAAAATTAGAAAAGCTATTAGCATATAATTTGTTTTTTAATTTTCTTTGGGTATTATATGCCTTAAAATAAATATTTCTTTTATATATATATATATATAATTATGTTAATATACTATAGTGCTTAAATATCTCTATAATTTTCTTTAAAAGTTAAGACAAAAATTTATTACGAATTTGAAGAATTTGTTCATTTAGTTATGATTTTTTTTTATAGAATTTCGAGAACAGATAGAGAGAAAACAGTTTAAATAGCGTAGTTTCATCAACTTTGACATAATTCTGTATTCTATAAAGAAGTTTTAGATTGTGGCCTGTGTAAAAAACTAAAGATATAATCATTTGATTCTAAGCATTCCATTTCTGTTCTTTTTTAATTTTGATTAATAAGTATAAAATTAATGCTGACAACAACAGCAAAAATGTTTCAGGTTCATTTATTCCTATACTTTTAGAGTACATGTTTCAGATGAACATGTAATGTTCTGGGCTGATCACTAAAGTCAAACAATGTGGGTACGGTTAGTAATATGGATGGGTGGCTCTGTCCGGAGAAACAAAAGACAAAAAAACCGTGTGCTGTTGACTAAAGAGAGACGATAAAAAGATTGCTCTTTGATAATATTGAATAAGTATGAAAAAGTAGTTCGTAGAGAAGTGACTCGAATCCGTAAAAGAGAGAGTAAAGAGATACAAGAAAATACATTTAAAAAAGAGTTTAAGATAACGTAAATTATTCCCTGAAACATTTTTTTATGTTATATGATCAGTTCAGCTTTGCATATGTATATAAAGAATACAAATTATCTACAGGGTGTCTGAGATTATTATATATATTTATATACATTTTTTTCTTATTTTTGAATGTAAAATATACTCGCAACGTTTGTACGAGAAAACCTCAAACACACACTCTGTATATATTTTATATTGTTTAATTAATACTTAAAAATTCTAAAAAAAAAGTAGAGTAGAATAAGATACATTTATTATATTATTGTTAATTTTCGAAATAATTACATTTTTGTTTAGATTTTCTTTTTTTTTTTTTTCGTATTACAGTTTTTCATGATTTTTTTTGGTGCTGTTATATTGATTGTGAAATTTTATTATTGTTTGCGTTTTTATATTATAATTCATGGGAGATATTGGCTTTAAAGTGCCAACTTATATCATTATACACGTTCTTTTATATGAAAGAATAGCAATTTAATTAATTTACAAGCTACATGATTTTTACGATAAGAATGTAAGAATATATATGTTACACACACATATATTATTAAAATATAATTATTAATTACATACTATATAATAATTACATTCTTATTAGTTGTTAATAATATATTTGAAAGAACGCGTATATATATACATATATTATTCTTTATAATTCGATACGTAATAGTATGACAACAAAAGAAAAAATATCCTTTTCCATCGTTCAGTATTTTTGATTAGATTAGAATTCACAATATGATGTCCTTTCTTCCCTGCGTGTATATGAGCTATATCTAATGTCTAATCTAAATATATCTAACATTGGACACATGACATAGTTCTTTATAAACGAAATATATATTTTTATTTTGTTATATTATAATAATATATAATATAGATTAGTGTGTTGTTTTATGGTAATATTATTTTTGATAATTCGATGAAAGGTGCCAATAAAAAGAAAATAACTTTATACAAATAAATGAAAGACGTATTCTACCCAAAAATCTTTATTTATAAAAATCCTTTCTTATAAATCCGTTTATAAGAATATACAATATATAAACACAAATAATATAGTAATAGGATGGATTCAAATATACCGCGTAAATAATTACTACGTAGTTCGATAATATCTAAGGTTTAATTTTAGAAATATAAAATCAATAAATTATATATAATATTATTTGACGGATATATCAAAATCTTTCAAATTTCAAATCTCAAGTATTTATTTAACGATATTAATTAATATTAATAAATGATAACATTAAATAAGAATGGATTACATAATATCAACAATTTCAAATATGTTCCGACTTAAGGACTACGTAAGTCAGACCAATCAAATTCTCCCATTTTGAAAAACAGAATACCCTCTTAAACACAAACAGAGGTAGAGCTACTATTTTAAAATCTCAAAAGGAATGAAAAGAAGAAGAACAATGAAGAAAGAAAATAAAAGTAATGTATACAAAAAAATCTAATTTAGCTGAATTAACAATATAATTGAGTAATCGAGTGATAAGTTCAAACTTATATTTTTGGCGCCATAATTGTATATAATTTAAATGACGAGCCGTATGACTTTGTTTAGAGTGTAAAAGCGCGCGCGCATTGTATCGTAACTCGGTCGAAAATGTTCTGTCTCTCTATCGCGCTTGCTCGAGTTAGATTTGTCCCTCTTTATCTTTCTCTTTCTCTCTAACTTATTTATTTTCGCGCGCGCGAGTTTGAGAGTTCGAGTTTTCGCAGAGAGGGTAAGCTGGCCGCTCCAATGACGATTAAGTTTGGTGTCAACAAAAAGAGCCAGTCTATTCCGTCAATCGTACGCTATCGGTAATAATCGGCGTCGATTAGCACGTAGGTAAATTTATTTTTTTATTTCGCGCGTATAAATCAAACGATATAATATAATTTTTTCTTTTATTTTTGGGAAAGGGGGAAATGAATTTACTTTTATTTTTTTTTTTTGTGTTTTTGTTTTGCGTTTATATTAATTTCTATCTCTGTCACTTTGTTCTCCCTTTTTTCGCACGCACAAAAGGTTTGATTGCCCGCGTAATTGACGTACTTTTAAACGTATTCGAATTTTTGGGCGTTTTATATTTTTCTATTTTTTCTTTTTTTTTCTTCGAAGAAACGATTTGCAAATTTTATCCGTGCATTTTAAACGTATTAATTCGAATATCTTAGTGTGCCTATTTTGATTCTAATGAAATTCATATATATATATATTCGAATCGATTTAAAAAAAATAAATAGGTAATTGTTATAATAGATTAAGTATACGACAATGACGATGACGACTAAAACAACGTATTTTGTTTCTTTAAATTTATAATTTAACATTTTGTTTATAAAACTTTTACCTGCGTGTGTCCCTTCTTCATGTCACGTCACACACACACACGCGCGCGCGTGCACACACACTATACACACACACACACACGTTCGAAAGGTCACTTCGCAAACGCCTTGCATGTAATTTTTTAAATTGTATCTGTTTTGTTATTCTTTTTCTCTGTTTCTCTCTCACGCTCTCTCTTTCTTTCTTTCTCTTTCTCTCTCTCTCTCTCTCTTTTTCATACACTCTCTTTTTCTTTCTCTCTTTCTCTCTCTCATTTTCATATCATCGGTTTTACGACACCATTTCCTTCTCTCATATTCAGTTTTGGCCTAACTTGCCTGACAATGCCGGATACTTACACACTTACAACGTGAGCGATTACTTGTCTCGCGGATCATCGGTGGGATAATGATTACAGAACAAACTTGGACCATGATGCTGGATAGCGATGTCACTGGCATCAACGAGTAAGTTTAATTTTATTTTAATTTTATTATTATTAGAAAAACTATCTCTAATAATAATAAAATTAAAATATAATTAGCGGTTTATATAGTTCGTATATCTCGCGATATATAAATATGATAATATTATTTTCTTGGTATCTCCCTTAACAGACTGGCTATTTCACCGAGAAAACAGCTATGGATCAAGGCCGTGAAGAAGTTGACTTCCGAAAGATTAGGAAGAGAAGGACTAGCTGCTTGGGAAACTCCTAAACTAGATAACGACCCGGAACTGGGCGATGATACCAACGATGACGCAACCAACGATGAAACTCAAATCTCGACGGATCCTGAAGCTCTTTTAGCTGAAGCTGCTGTACCCGAAGATGAAGCTCAAATTCATCGAGGTAGACGAAGAAAAGAAAAATATTAACAATTTCTTTTATTTAATTATATAATATTTGTTTATAATATTATTTACAAAAAGAAGGGAATCTTTTTATTTTATTTAATATTGTACATTTTATTTTATTTTTTTTCTTTTCCATAACAATTCGCTATAATATATTCATGTAATAATATTACTCAAACGAGAAGAAGAAGAAGAAGAACAACGACTTGCGTGTAGCATGTTAGAATTACTCCAATATATTCCGACGTTCTATATAAAGAGACATAAAAAGATTGATATTTTTAGATGTCTTCAAGAAAGGGGTGCTCTATAAGGGGATATTCTGTCCTTCGTTGACCAACAACTTTCATAGTAAGCAATTGGAGACCTCGTATCTTCATTACTCAAATCGACAACGACAAAAAGCATTAATCATGCTTAATATCGTCGA